ACCCCCAACACCCTTTTCTAGATTAAGGCTCCTACAGTAGGCTTTATGGTTCTGGCTGCAGACAACGCGCATCTCCGCCTGATGGAGGTTCAGCTGCTTCGCCGAATCCTGCTATCGGCTTTCCTAAGGAACCTAAACCCTAAAACCTGACACTTAGACTTAGACCCTGAAGCGGGCCCTCAGGGTACGATTAGGAAGATAGGTTTGTAGGTTAAGATGTTGAGGAGTATAGCAATATCAATTTGTGCGTTTGAGCCCTTGGCCCTTAGGCAAATGAGCCCCGTGCTAAGGGTTTTTGGTTTTGGGACAACTGTGTGGGTTTAAGCGTTTAGGGTGTATAGTCGGGCTTTTATTCATACAAGGGTCCTGCGAAAGAGCTCACGCGGTACGAAAATGCGTGCATGGGACTCAGGAAGTAGTTCCTTCCCTGGCAACCGGCATTTGTGTTTGCCGGGGGCACGTTCTTTGTCACAAAAGTTGATGGATGAAGTAGCAGCAGCAACACCTCTAAACATGCTGCAGGCATCAGGGATAAGACCATGATGACGGCCATCACGTCGACTATCATCGTCGTCGTCGTCATCAACCTTGTCCAAGATCCCAACAAGCATCACAAACCCCAAAACCCTGCATCCAGATTCCTAGTCGACGGAGCTTGCAATTAATTACTTTGCCGGACCCGTTCGTCAGTTCTGCAGGGAAATAGAATACAGGCTAGCTTAACCCACAGTAACTTACATTTTGATGGACTTACATGGAAATCATGAAAGGGAGCCGAAAACGGTAGGCTTTCTACTGCGGCTAGACTTTAGGAGCATCGGGCTTTTTCCGCTCTGCCAGATCCTGCGCCGCAAGCCTTTCCCCAAACCCCTAAGCCAGTGGAACCCGCATCCCTAAACCTCTAGGACCCCCTGCCCGAATCGGGTTTGCTAAGGGACTTACAGCAATTTCAGTCACCGAAATACAGCAAACTCATTTTTTCTATAGATCCACAGTATGGTAACTTAAACCTTAAACCATTCAAGGAACCCTTATCGATCCCTACAGGTTTATGGTAACTTACCCTCAATTCCTACAGCATGGTAACGTAAACCTTAAACCCTTGAAGGAACCCTCATAGATCCCTATTATGGAAACTCAACCCTCAAAATAATAGGTTATGACCCTCTGATTATGGAGTCTAACCCCTAAAACAGTAGGTTTTTGGATCCCCTTATAGATCCCTACAGCAGTATGGTAAATTAACCCTAAACCCTTAAAGGAACCCTTATAGATCCCTACAGTATCATGGTAACTTAACCTCTAAACCCTTAAAGGAACCCTTATCGATCCCTATTCTGGTAACTTAACCTCACTTCCTTAAGAAGAACCCCAAATCCGAAGGAAGGAGCCTTCGCCCCCGGCTTCCTCCCGTAGTTGCAGAGCACCTAGGCTGCTCAGAAACCCACTGGGAAAAAGTATATACTTTGTTAGGCTTCTTATTTGTATAGGCTTTAGGGTTTAGGGTTCTGTATAGGGTTTAGGGCTCTTATTCAGTAACCCACTGGGAAAAGTACAGGGTTTAGGGTTTAGGTTTTATTTAAGCTCCTTTTGCCCAGACGCATACCCAGCTTCCGAGAAGGGTTTAGGATTTAGGGTTCTTACTTTAATACTTTGTAATCGGGACCCAGAAACCTGAAAGTAAAAAAGCGTACCACTGAACAGCCTGGGCACAATTGTGCAGCAGCAACCTTCGCTTGCTCGGGGTGTCGGCTTCAGGGTTTAAAGAGTTGGGGTTGCGGGTTTCGGGTTTATCGTTTATCGGGTTTAGGGTTTATGGCATAGGGCTTAGGGTTCAGGGTTTCTAAAATTTAGGGCTTAGAGGCTTTACGGTTCAGTGTTCAGGGTTAGGGATTTAGCATGGACGCTGCCGCCAAAAAAAAAGAATGTAGCCCATTAAAGAAACAAGTTACAACGCATTCATGCGCTGTTACACATCCCTGGTAATGGCTGTTGATGGCATGCTTACTGCTGTTGCAAAGATGCATTCTGATCTTGTAATACAGCAACGCTGATCTGGAAGTACATCTACGGCAGCGACGATGAATACTGCTAACACGAGTACTCTACTACGTTACTACGACGGCGGCTACTACTTCTTGTGGTACTATTGCTACTATCTCTCTTGCTGCTGCTGCGGCCGTCTTGAACCGTGTGATGGCGATGTGATAGACTACAGGGACTGTTGCCTCGGCCAGTAGTTGTGGCTGAGAACTTTTCTAAAGCAACGGCCTTAAAAGGATTAGAATAGGTTTTGGGGTACGCTATAGTTAAATAATAGGGAACCCAATAGAAAGAATATCAAAATATTCTTAATTCGTGTGGGTCCTTTATATCATCAAGAGTGGCAAACATACCAGGAAGCAACCAGGAATTCTCGAGATCGTAAAGCAATCCAAGCACATCAACGGCAGACGCTTCAACGCAACTAGCAAGGCAAACATACACACTGATATTGAAATTAATCCGAGGTCACTCATATGCTGCTTGTGTTACTCATCGCTCCATCCGCCCAGTGTCTGTGTGTTTAGCTGTTCAGGCCTGTGTTGATTTATGTGTCTTCTGGTGCTTTTGCTAGCAAATAATACCGTACCCCTCTTCATTTTATGGATTTGGTGGTTTCCGGAAATACGGCACCCCAAAATAGTACCCTAAAAAAGTAGTAGGATCCTTATTATAAGGACCCAGAAATAGGGTGCCCCTATTTTTCGGAAACTCCCATTTTAAGGATTTCGGACACCTAAGCATTCCAAGACGCACAGGAGGAAGGCGCCGACCAAGGAATAGATGATCGTCCTGAGACCATGAGACACTCAACTAATCCTACCTGGTTTAGGGTTTAGGGTTTAGGGTTTAGGGTTTAATCCTACCTGGTTTAGGGTTTAGGACCCCAAAAGTATGTGGAAGAATAGCTTTCTACAGGGTTTGGGCCGTTGTTTTACCTAATTTTGGGGATTCAAGTGGTGGTTAACGCCGGGCCACCTAAGGGTCCAAGTACCTACTAATCATATATACTCTCCCAAATACTAACCTACATAACTACTATCCTGAACCCCAGTATCTAGCTCTTGGGTTTGGGCTACAAACCCCCAAAACCGAAACTCCCTGACCCCCAGACCTGAAAATCAAAAGAGCCTCCACCCTGCCTGAATTCTCGGGGAACGGGAGCGGGAGGGAGTAAGTTTGGGGTGTAAGACTGGGGTGTGGAATTCAAGGTACGGGTTCACCATGAACCCGAACTATAAATCTTTACCCTAAAACTCCTAAAACCCTAGACCCTAAAACCCTAAACCCTAAGCCCTAAACCCCTAAATCCCGAACCCTATACCTGAACCCTAAACCCCACACGTGTCGAAGATGATCTGGCGAAGCACCGAGGCAGCCTTGTCTATCAGCCAGCGCTCCAGATGGAGCCTCATACATGCTCTTCGGGGTGGTGCCGCTCGAGACCTTCCAGCAGTGCCCTGTCGAGTAGTAGTTGAACATGCGCATGAAAACCAGAGCGGCAGCGTTTCTGATCAGCGCGGTGATCAACCTTTTTGACAGAGCCTGGATGGAGGTCACGTCAGTCGGCATGCCCGAGGGCGTGAACTCGCCGCCGCTCGAGACGTAGCCGAAGAGCAGGATGGACATCGCCGGCACCACGCTGAGAACCAACTTGCCGGCCTCGTTGAGAGACTCGAAAGCCCCGAGTTCCCCCTGTCCCCGGCCAAGGCTGCGTACTGCAGTGCCGTGTTCGTGAGGAGCCAGACCATGACAGGCTTCGTGAAAGCCTCATCGATCGCCGTCGCGCCCGGGTCGAATTCAGCTGTATTGTATCCACTCAGCTACTAAGTAAACACTGCAAGCCCTATAAAAGCAAAAACCAAAACATCAGGCCCGAAAGCTGAGCACCTAGTTGCAACGAAGGGAGACCCCGGTAGAAGCCCCAAGGGCCCAAAGGACCCAATAATTAGGTACTTCTTCGGAAGAATAGGGTTCCTTTAAGGGGGTCTATAGGGAGTACTATAAGGGGTATTCTGGGGTTTTGTATAGCCCCAAGGGCCCAAAGGACCCAATAATTAGGTACTCGGTTTTAGGATAGTAGTTATGTAGGTTAGGATTTTATGATTATTAGGACCTAACTGTAACCTAGGAGTTCTATAGGGTGTCCTTTTTGGTTTTAGAGGGGGCTATAAGGGAACCTAAACCTTAAAAAGGGAATCAGGGCCTACTCTGGCTCCTAGAAGCAGTGAGCCAAATAAGTGTAAGATACTGCAGCGGTACCCAAGTACCGAAGTAGAAGATAAGCAGGAACAAGTGCTCTGAAGATGCAATTAAAAGAAACAGCAGACCAACAAAGTCACAAACCACAGTACCCAAATATGCCGAAGAGCCTCAAATGTCAAAGAGCAAATGTCATAAGATGCTCTGAACATGCCTCCTGAAACACGTCGCTTGAACTGCCCATGTGTTAGTCAAGCGGATGCATGAGTGCTTAGGGCCTCACCTGTAGCCGAAAAGGCCTACCTTTACAAGGAACTATATATAGAAACCATAATAAGGAACCCTAAAAAAGTAGGCCCTTTCGGCTACAGGTAGGGCCTAGGAGATGCGTACTTTCAACCGAACTGTCCAAACAGGAAAGGGGCCCGAACCTCAGGTCCTCAATCCGAAAACTCCTACAGAGCCCTGCAACATCCAACAAAGCCTACTTGGAGGGGCAGGGGACTTAGTAAGTAGGGTATAGGTAGGGCTATAATTTGGGATAACTCCATGTAGGGTACTTATAACTCTATTTATAACCTACTTACTAAGCCCCCTGCCCCTCCAAGTAGAAGACCCTTCTGACACCCCAAAGCCGCATAATATCGGGGCCTTAAGAATTAGAATAGGGTTGTGGGGCCTCTTCTACAAAAATCAGAATAAGGAATCCCCAGAATAGTATTGGCAATTATTTAGGCCCCTGTAGTCCCTAAACCCTAAACCCTAACCGCATAACACCAAAAAGTACAATTTTCCCCGGGCGTCGTGTATGGAAAACCCGCAACCTGCTCCTCGTCCTCCTTTCAAGCATAGGGACCCCTAGGGGGGTAGCGGCGAGGAGGGTATGCGGCCTTAACAACCATAAGAGGGACCACATACGGACTTTGTTTAAGGAAGTATAGTCCCCTACCCCCTCCCCCCTACCTCCCTAAGGGTCCTTATGATTCAAGCTTCACGGCTGCCATGGAGTACCCTAAGGCTCCATAGTAGTACCTTTTTGGGCTGACCGTACAGGGTTCTATCAACCACGGAAAGGAACTACTATGGGGCCTTGGGGAAGAGAGTAGGTTTAAGCACCAGGAGCTTAAATGGTTTAAACAGGGCATGTAGGGTGTTCGTATCATCTGGGTGTTGCTCCGGCTTGATGTGGGCTTCCTGTGCGTTGATTCAGGAGCCGCTTTAATTACGTTTCCTGCGAAGGCTCTACAATCGTTTTTAGCTGGGAGCTTGAAGGTTGTAGAAGTGTTCTGTAAGACGGGTCCTTCAGTTTGCAGTGCTTCTGCCATTTTTCGGCATTTCGGCCTGGAGTTTAGAGTAAAACACGTAGGGAAAATTCGGGAGCAAGGCACTGGAGAATCCTTACGAACCCCAACCCGAAACCGATAAACCCTAAAGCCCTAAACCCCGAACCTGAAAAGCAAAACCCCTAGACCCTCAAACCCTACACTAGGCACACAAAAAGGTACCTAAACAAAAACCAAAAGGTTGGGATATCCCATAAACCCCCTTTATAAACAAAGCAATGAGGCAGTGATATCCCGCCCAAAGTTTATGTTTGGGTCCTTTTTGGAGCCCTAACCTACCCTAACCCTAAGGCTCAAAATAGTCCCAAAGCCTTCTATAGTATGGTCTTTGGGCCCAAAAGCCTTAAAATACTTTGGGCCCAAGAGCCTTGAAAAATCTAAACCCTTATAAACTGATAAACCCTAAATAAACCCTCAAACCCTACACTACGCCCCTGGCCTGGCTGTAGAGGGACACTGAAGCGGACAGCTCAGCCAGAAGGCCCTCCAGCGACTCCTCCGCGCGCCACAGGTCCTGCGGAGCAACTCCAAGAAGGGCGCTGGGCTTGGGGATGAGGGTTCAGGGGCTAAGGTTACTAAGGTTTAGGGTTTATAGGGCTTACAGTTTAGGGTTTAGGGTTAGGGTTTAGGGTTTATGGAAACCCCAAAAGTATGTAGCATCATGGCCTTTAATACGTTTGGCGCTATTAGTTTACCTAGCTTTGAGGGTTTAGGTAGGGTTTTGTATAGCGGCCTTGGTAACTGGACGCAAGCTTCAGGGTACTTGTATTATGATGACATACATCCGTTACTCAGGGCCTCTCCGGATTATTTGGGGAGCAGATTTCTAGGTGAGTTCAAATCTTTGCGTATTGTGGGATTCTAAGCCTCGTCTGTTTTCGTTTCTGGCCTTGTGATGTTTCTTTGTAAGGCTCTTATGACATGTTACTTTCGGATTGTATAGGCCTTTGTTGGCTTTCATCATCGCTGGTACTCCTACAAAAGCTTCATCAAGGATATCCTGTCGTATGGGGTCTGACAGCATCTTTGTAGGGCTTTAGGGTTTAAGGTTTGGGTTCAGGGAAAGTTCTACAAGGTTATGTAAGGGTTTAGGACTTCAGCGCGTTACGATGTTGGGTTCTTCACCAGGCTTTACAAGTTCTTCTTGACGGGTGCGTTTAGCCCCCCCCCAAAATGCTCAGGTTGGTTCGCAGCGGGGCCTTATGGTCCTTAGATATAGTCCTTAGAATGGAGTTGCGGGGAGGGTGGGGGGGGGGGGCGGGAGTACCTTACTCAGTATCGAAATAGTATCGACCGCGAAGGAAGAACATCGATAAACATCCAGGCTTCGATATAGAAGTCCTGGATCATCGTTACAATAGTGACCATCTAGACCCCTCAACCCTCGAAGTCTATACACTCTACCCTGAGGGTCCAAAGGACCCGTATACCTCCGAGGGTTCAATACACCCTAAACCCTGAACCCTAAATATCTTGTAGACCCTCGGGGCTGAGTACAGCAGAAGCCATAGGGAATCCCAGCACTATTTGGCCTTAATCCGGTTTCCAACTTTATGGGGTTTACCGTACTTTAGTTTCACAGCGCCTCGGATGCAGCATTGAGCACTTGGTCGCGGAAGGCGTCCCAAGCCTTCGGAGCTCCAGAGGGAACGGATGAGTTTGAGAAGGTCGAGAGTTCAGGGTTTATGATGGTTAAGGGTTTTCGGGTTTTAGGAAGTTAAAGAATCGGGGTTTCGAGGTTCACGGGCTTGGGGCGGGGGCTTAGGGTTCATTGGGGCTTAGAGTTAATGTGGGTTTTTGGTCTACTTGCAACCCCAAAGTCTGCAAAGGACTCTGTTGGTTTCGGGTATGACCCCCCAAAAAAACAAGAGGTTCAGGGTAAAAGGTTTCTGGAACCCGAAGTAGGAAGTTGAGATTCAGGATATCGGATTTAAAGATTTGGGTTTTGGGGTCTTCGGGAAACAGAAGCACTGCGACGTCCAGTGGTTGTTGGAAGACTTCACCACGAGCTTGGATGCAGGCTTAAGGGTTCAAAACGGGCCTCCACCCAAAGGGTCCAAAGGATCCAATAATTAGGTATTTGGGTTTAGGATAGTACTTATGTAGGTTACTACTTTGGAGAGTATATGATAATTCGGTACTTGGACCCTTAGGGTCACAGGTGCCACAGTGTTCGGAGAACATCTTGAAGCGTAATCCAGTTGCGATGCTACAAAGCGATCCTACTACTCATGGCTCAGGCTTTTACATTGTTCTGATAGTTGCGAAATGCTGCAGTATGAAGCGGATAACTAGATCGGGGTATTATTGTCGGGGCCTGATACATGGTGCATCAAAATCGCTTGCCCATTCATTGGTTGATCAAAATAAGAGAGCCCTCGATATACCAACAATGCTGACCAAGCAGGATGCTGTGACATTACTATAGGGACCTTAATAATTAGAATAGGGCTTGGGGGGGTTTACCATACTATATTTGTAATAAGGACCCCCGCAACCATATTCTAGCTATTATTGAGGCCCCTGCATTTAATTCTTCATCCCTCTGGTGTAGCGGGCCTGGTCCACACGATCCCACTGCTCCGAGATGTCCTGTACATAACATGAACTTCGAGCTGTTGGAGAGCCAAGGGTTTAAAGTAGAAGCCAGAAAGTTGGAATATGATTATCCTAACCCCCTTTATGGTAAATTATAGCGGATCCTACCTACCATTAATCCATATTCCAACTTTCTGGAGTTCCCTTTACGGCTTCGAGTCAAGGGTTCGGTGCTTTTTGGTTTCCTGTTTAGTTCGGGCTTTCCGGTTCAAGATCCGGGATTTAGGCTTTGGGGGTTCATGTTTCGGAAGGCCAAAAATTCCAAGTGCTACTGATACTGAGCTGCTACTGGGGGGTTTCTACCCTGCTTCCCGTCGCAGCGGTTGCACTTGAACTCAGTATTCTGCTATGTGTTAGGTTTAGGGTTTAGGGTTCGGGGTTTAAAGTTCAGGTTTAAGGGTTTCAGTTTCGGGCTGTGTTTCAACCAGCGGGTCTTGGACACTCGCTAGTACTTAGGGGCCGAGCGGCTGGGGGTGTAAGGGTTGTTTAGGGTTTCGGGTTTAGGTTAGATGTTGAGGCATCAACAGCATGATTCCCTTGAAGCCTATATCTGCTGGAAGAGGTTGTGATCTTGAGGGGTTAAAGAAATTGGGGCTGGGACCATGTCGAGCGCTTTAGGGCTGTGGTGTCTAAGGAAGCTCAAACGATACCCGGAGCCCACAACCCTAAACTCAATCCATAGAACCCTAAACCGAAACCCTCAAAGTACCCTGAAGGAAAGCCCCTAAAGGAACCTCAAGAGACACCTCTAAACCCGACACCTTGCGACACCAGTCTAGTCCAGGCCTTTCTTGCCACCGGCACTGGCTCCAAGCCACCGCCGCCTTCCTTGAAGGGGCTCTTTGTGCGGTACTCATAAGGTTTAGGGATTTAAGGTCAGGTGTAGGGTACTTACAAGGGAGTTTCCGCCGAAAATAGGACACCCATAGCAGGATCCTCCTTATTAAATTAAGTAAATTAAGTAGATTGATTAAATTCACTAAATTAATTAAATTACAAGGACACCAAAATTCAGTACCCCTTACTTTCGGAAACCAGGGGTTTACGGTTTGGGGGTAAAGGACTTCGAGTTGCAGCTTTGGGTGCAGGGCTTGGGTTCTCGACTTTAAGGTTAAGGGTTTACTTGGAAGGGCAGGGGACTCAGTAAGGGCTCTTAAAGGGCTCCTTAAAGGGATCTATAGGGTTCCTTAAAGGGATCTGTGGGGTTTAGGGTTTAGGGTTTACTTGGAGGGGCAGGGGACTCAGCAAGTCGTTTTCACAAGTAGGGTTATAATTGGTGTAACTCCATGTAGCGTACTAAGAACTCTACTTATAACCTACTTACTAAGTCCCCTGCCCCTCCAAGTAGGGCTTAAGGTTTAAGGGCTCAAGGCTTCGGGTCTTCGCATTCCGGGTTTTGAGTTTAAGGATTATAAGGCATGAGATTTAGGGTCCCGGGTTGAGGGCTCAGGGGTTTAGGATTTAGGAGTTTCAGGTTCAGGGTTGAGGGCTCAGGGTTGAGAGCCTCAAGTTCATATTCTTGTGTGATTCTGCAAAGTCTGCAAATTTGCGAGGACATCGTCCCTTACGCCGAACCCCTACAAAAATCCTCATTGCTTATTAATGGGAGGCCTCAAACTCCTTTGAAACCCCCCACAACAAACCCGCAACACCCTTGAAAAACCATAAAACCTTTCTCAACCGTCAGAAAACCCTAAAATCCTGTGGCTAGCAGCCCTAAACGCCCAAAACCCTGAAACTTAAACCCCATAAAACCCCGAATCCCTCGCATACCGTCCTTCAGAACACACAAGGCCCCAAACGCCCTGAGCCCTAAACCTCCCCTAAACCCTAAACCCTAAATCCTAAACCCTAAATCCTAAATCCTAAACCCTAAATCCTAAACCCTAAACCCTAAACCCTAAACCCTAAATCCTAAACCCTAAATCCTAAATCCTAAACCCTAAACCAAACCCTATGAAGACCGTCCTTCGCCTGCCGGTGGAGCCTCTCGAACTTCGCCACAGCGGCCTGGTGCGGCTTAGCAGTTCCCGGGTCTCAGGGCTTCCTTAAGGGTAGGGTTTAGGGTTTAGGGTTTAGGGTTTAGGGCTTTTAGGGGCTTTTATGTTATGTGGGAGTTTCCGAAAATTCGGGTACCGTCTTTTGAGGCTCCTTATAATAAGGATCCTACTATTTAGGGTACTAGATTAGGGTCCCCTATTTTTCGGAAACTGCCATGTAGGTTCTGACAAGGGTCCTCACGGTTTAGGGTTTATAGGGTCTACTATGATTTAGAACGTTTATATAGGTACCAGCTGACCAGCATGTGTCCACGGAGGATTCGCCGGCTTGCAGCCTCAAAACCCCGTACTCAAATGAAATACATGCTTCCATGTCAAGACGCTTCCAGCTCGGTTTAGGGTTTAGGGTTTAGGTTTTAGGGTTCCCGACATCGCTGTTCGATTGTCGATTGGCACGTGCGCTCGCACCTGTGGACCATCCAATGGCATCTCCATTGGCGGGTATTCCCGGCCAGTGCTGCTCATACCACTTGACGACCCTCTTGTACTGCTCATGCTGCATGTTGCATTCCTCAAGGGAAATTCTGATAAGCGAACTCACAGTTTATGGTTTTAGGGTTTAGGGTCTAATTACTATGGATTAGGGGCCTGTAGATTCTGATGGGGGTCCCCAGAACTGCTGAATAATCTTAGTCATTCGGACTAGTAAATAGCGTATAGAACCAATAAGTCTTGAAGTACTAGGACGCTGTACAAGGAGGCGCGCCCCCGACACTTTCAAAACCCCACTGGAAGGCCTGTCAGAGCCAAAGGCATCACATACTCAAGCAGCCAGAAACATAAACTACAGGCGTTGCAAAACCTCTCATTGAAGTTCCTTTAAGAATCTAAACACACCTTCCTCAGCAAAAGATCTGCTGCAACAAAGAGAAGAAACAGAAAACACTGATACTTGTTGAACACAACAGAAGCCTAAGGGCCTAAGGCCCTGCCGGAAGAGAACAACTAAACAACCATCCTGAGCCTAAACTTTAAACCCTAAAGCCTCAAGCCCTAATACCCCTAAACCCTAAACCCATAAACCCTACATCCCTAGCCCCCTAAACAACATACTAAACCCCTAAACCCCTAGAGCCCTAAAGCCCTAAACCCCATAAACCCTTAACTCTCAACCTGACCGCTCAACCCCTAGACCCTAAAAGCCCTAAACCCTATACGCCTAAACCCGAAGCCCTAATACCCCAGGCCCCCTAACCAACATAGTAAACCCGTAAACCCTTCAATCCCTAAACCCCTAATACCCCTACAACCCCTAAACCCCTAAAACCCATAGACCCCCCCACGCCCTAAAACCGCTAAACCCGCTAAACCCCCTAAGCCCCTAAACCCGCTAAACCCCTAGCCCCTCAAACCCCCTAAGCCCCTAAACCCCTAAGCCCCTAAAAACCGCTAACCCACCCTAAGCCCCTAAAACCTTGAAACCCTAAAACCCGTAAACCCGCTAAGCCCCTAAAACCCCTAAGCCCCTGAAACCCCTATATAAACCCCCTTAAGCCCCTAAAAAAAATCCTAAACCCCGAAAGCCTCGAGCTCTCTGATAAACCCCATAAGCCCTAAACCCCAAACCCCTTAGCCCCCCTTAACACCCCTAAAACAACCCTTTCCCCCAAAACCCTAAACCCCCTAAACCCAATGAACCTCATAAGCCCTAAACCTCATGAACCACCTAGAAAGCGCTTTTTAAACCCCCTAAATCGCCTCGAGCTCTCCGGCACCGCTGCGCTGTGACACCTCCCTCAGGGCGGCCAGGAAAACCGTGGAGGCCTCCACGCGCGATTTCTCTGGTTTCCTTAATTTAAAAATTAAGGGATGTATAAGGGTTCTAATTATAAGGTTTCCTTTAAAGGCATCAACAAGGGCTCTATGAGGGGTTTAGGTAGATAGGGATCTAGGGTTTCTAGGGTTGAGCGATCTAAAGTTTAAGGCTTTAGGGCCTCCCGTTGACGGGTTTAGGGGTTTAGGGGGGCCGATAAGGGTACTATCAGGGTTTAGGGCTGAAGGGTTCCCTTAAAGGCTGTAGGGATCTAGGGTTTTAGGGTTTAGTGATCTAAAGTTTTAGGGTTGAGAGCTTTATGTAGGGCTTTAGGATGCTTTAGGGTTTTAGGGTTCAGTTTAGGGATCTGGGGTTTGGTGTAGGGCTCTATGGGTTTCAGGGATTTAGAGTTTCAGGGTTTAGGGTTCTATGGGTTTTACGGGTCTAGAGTTTTGGGGTTTAGGGCTTTGGGGGATCTAGGGTTTTAGGGCTTTAGGCTTTATGGCTTTAGGGTTGGAGGCTCTCTTTTCTTTGAGGGATCTCGACGGAGTTCGCCAAGGGGCTTGTAAGGGTTTGCAAGGGGTTTGGAACTTTTTCGGCTGTATAGAGATTTTGTAGAGGTGTGGCCTTCGGCTTTCCCAGAGACTCCAATTTCCCTCAATTAAGGAATACTCCTTAAATCATATTAAGGATCCTACTATAATTTACGTAAGGTATATTCCTTGATTCAGGGATATTGGAGTCTTTGGGTTTTCGGCTTCTAGTTCAGAAGGGCTTCCGGAGCGTCTTGAATCTTGCGCTTGTTTTGTGGTTGGATCTTGCTTTGGTTAAGGCGGTTTAGGGTTTAGGGTTAAGGTTCAGGGTTGTTCCATCTCTGTTTGGAAGGAGCAGTGCAGGGCTTGCGTTTAGTGTTTTGGGTTTCAAAGTCTGGTTCTGGGGTTACCAGGCTGCCAGGGGTAAAAAGTAGTTCTCTAAATCAGCGTCGTTTTAGCAACCCAAGATAAAGCGGAACCTTAAAACAAGGACCACCAAAAGAGACCATAATTTAGAGTCTAAAGTCTGTCTAGAGAACTACTTAACGGCTGAGGTGTGTCTCGCGCAACTGCCAAACGTCATATTGGAATTTTGCCTCTTGGGGGCCTGGTAAACGTGTACAGGACGTTTAACTTTGGCTGTGAGAGTCGGGCTTTGCCGTACCCCCAAATGACCTACCTCTTCAAGGACTTTTCCAAGGAAATCACAATAGAGAACCCTAGAAAGACGGATTTTATAGGGTCCAGGTAATAGTTGAGACTACAACAGCATTAAGGGACTATATGTGCAAAATGTTGGTACTTTCATACCCTAAACTTAATGCTGTGGGAACGATTGCCCGGAGGATTAAACAGCAGCCGTCTTGACCTAGGCCGTAAACCACGACCGCCAACACAAAGGCTCAATATAATCCACTCATTCGGTTCGGGCCCCTTACCTGTAACTTCGAACTCCGAAATCCTAGTTTAATTAACCCCAAGCTATGAGCCTTGGTTTAAGTACAACGGCAACTAATTCGGGACTTAACTGCTTTCCGAGCCCACTATGTTTGAAGGGTTTAGCCCGCCCCACCCCCCCAACTATCTTTTGTCGTAGCCCTCAATGGCCTCTGGATGAGGAATATGAACACCCTTTGAAGCTTACTTGGGGTGGTGGGCAATTCCATGTTTGGGCGTTTAGGTTTTCAACATCGACGAGGTTGAAAGCGGTTGATGATAGAAAACCTGCATGACCCACAATAAGGAATATACCATAATTCCCGTAGCTTAGGGACCTTAGGGTAATGCAGGATCTATACCATCAACCCTCAACCCTAAACCCTATAGATCCCTTAAAGGAAGCCCTTAAAGGTACCCCTATAGATCCCTTTAGAGGAGCCCTAGGGATTTTTATCATCAACCGAAGTCACAGCCTCCGTCATCGCCCTCGTCACCACATCCACGCGTGGCCCCGGCCAGGCTGGATGTTGTAACTGCGCTTCACGCAGATACCTTGCAGGAGTCCACGGGCTTGGGGTTCAGGGTTCAGGGTTCAGGGTTCAGGGTTTAGGGTTTAGGGTGTAGGGTTTAGGGTTTAGGGTTTAGGGTTTAGGGTTTAGGGTTTAGGGTTTAGGGTTTAGGGTTTAGGGTTTAGGGTTTAGGGTTTAGGGTTTAGGGTTTTCAGTGTGTAGGGGTTCAGGTAAGGGGCTGAGGGCAGAGAGTTTGTTTGAGGGTTGAGGGCTTGGCGCTCAGAGTTTTGGGGGTGCGCGGCTTGCGGTCTTAATACTCTAAGGCCCCATAGTAGTTCCTGTTTGGTATTCATGTTTAAAGAATCCGAAAAAGTAATCCCAAAAAGGAACTACTATGGGGCCTTAGAACAAAGCCTCCCAAGGAGTTTGTGGAGCTTGAAACGGTCGCAGTGAGGACTTGGTGGGCTTATGTGGGGAAGGCAATGGAAGGGAAGCCTACAGTAAACCCCATAAAGTTGGAAACCGGATTAAGGCCAAATGGTGCTGGGACTCCCTATACATTACTCTTCAGGATTGAGGCTATTGGGTTTCCAGTTTCCAACTTTTGGGCTCCTTCTATCACGGCGTGCTGCAAAACCCAACGCTTGTTGTAGGCACCTGATTAAGAAACCTTGGCCCTACAACCCCAATATAGTAGGATTCGTATAAAGAACACTAGCCGGCACCCTGGGCTTCTTGATCAGGCTCCTAGATAAGGGTTGTGGGATTGGGACTTGAAAGGGGACGCAAAGGTCGCGAAGTAAAGGGATTCACTGTGGAGCATCTATTCACAGAGACAACCACATGCAACCTTGTGTGTAGCGGTGCTTCCGTTCAGAATCTAAGGGTTCAAGTAACGAAAAAGTAAGGTTCAATGCAACTGCAGATACCAAATGCCACTCAGACTCAGAGCATATTTTTGCGCATTAACCCCTGATAGTAACCCTCTGTGTCTGTGTTCATTGTGGGTCTCTACACTCTGCACGTGAATTGGTGCTAACACTGCTCGGATATCTCATCCGATCTTTCTTCCAAGAACTGGTCCTCGCTTTCTTGCCTACAGAATTAAAACCCCGGAAGGAACCCTGCTAGAGAATGCAGAACCCTTCGGGGAGCCCTGGAACGGAATTGCAAAAAGCACGATCCCCCCTCGGTGCGAGGTAGCGGAATAAATAAGATGTCCATTAATTGCATGTAAATAACTGTATGTATATACACATACATACGTGCATACATACATACACCTATAAACACACTATGTTGGATATCCGTGTATTGTTGAACGAAAGCAAAGCCCCTTTCAAAAGACCATCCCCAATAGCCCAACAGAAAGCTATATGTCCCTCAGGGCCAAGTTTCCTAAGTTCTTGTTGACGAACTTCATCCAGGTAGCACAATACGGAAACCCTTTTAATTACCATAGACCCCTAAAAATATTACGAGTACTATTCGTAATAATAAACAATCGTAACCATAAATAACAAAAAAGACCATATTCATAATACTAATATGAATAAAAATAATATAATTGATTAACCATAAAAGCACTATCAAATAAGACTTTCTTAAGTTAAAGCTGGATTCCTTAATTTAAGGTTCTTGCTATGGAACTTAATCCAATTCTCAGTTATAACATTAAGAAAAAAGAAACCCTATGTACTATATAGATCGGTAAATACCCCTAGCAATATGGTAACTTAAGTTAGGCTCCTTACGAAGAGCCCACCCTAAACCCTGCCAAGAACCCACCCTAAGCCCTAAACCTAAGTAGGTTCTTTTCCGTTTAACCGTTACCCGCTAGGCAAAAGACCTACAAACCATAATAAGAAACCCCCAAAAGGTAGTTCTACAGGTAGCGTTAAATAAAACCCAGTTTCAGGCCTCGCTTGCGCCTCTTCGGCTCCCTGGCGCAGCGAGTCCCCGGCTGCGACCAGTCTGAGCATGTCCTTTCTCGGTTTAGGGGTTAAGGGTTAAAAGGTTTAATTTGGGGTTTAAGGTTTAAGGGTTTAGGGTTTAGGGTCTAGGTCTTAGGATTTTGGGCTCCCTTAAAAGTTTATTCCGAGAGCGGGGGGGAAGGGGGGGGCCTTTGAAGAACGCTACCATGCTTGGGGCTTGGGGCTCTAAGCGTTGTGTTCTTGTCATGCTGAAGTTACCTTGCTAAACTGAGGTCCTGTCGTGGGCATCGTCAGTATGGCGTCCCAATCTAGAGAGCTAGCAATGCGCTGAAAGAAAAGCCGTACATCAAAATGCGATTATGGCCCTATTGACATTTGGTTCTACGAACTGGCACAGCGAACAAGGTGTGTGGTTGTGCAGCACAGCTACAATGCGGCAGCGGATAGCATGTTAAGTGCGGCTCAAGAAAAAACTGTAAGAAACAGTACACACTTATGCAGGCTGCGGTGCAACCTCCCTTGAAAACATGTTCAATACCGGCCAAGCCCTACATAATCCTTGGCCGGTGTTGTAGCACACGTCCAGTAATCTGTGGCAGTCTATTGGGATGTGGGCTTGGGTCTATATACGGGGCATCAATTTACAGAACACTTCGAAAATTTAGCATCATCAAGAAAACCAACTCTTACGAACACCACAAGTTACAAATACTCTGCAACCTTGCTTCTAACCCAGTCTTAAAGCATTCAATGGCCAATGGCCCCTGTCCCCTCAAACAATTCCCGAACTGAACCACTAGGCAACTGCGGGAGTTTCACAAACTCTACCAACCAGAAATGGAGGGATACTTATTGCTTTAGGGCTCCAAATATACAAATACTGCCTAGTTTAGGGTCTGACGTCTATAAACAGAGCCTGCTTTGAGCTATTTGGAGGCCCCGGGGTTTGAACACGTATGTCCTGTGCCCCAACGGCATCCTGCGACGAAGAGGAAGCTGCAGGGCTTGTCGTTAGAGCTTGCGTATTGCAGCCATGCAATGACCGTTTAGAATGAGGAAGCCACTACGGGCCTCATATGGGAAGCTCTGTAAACAGGGGTCCTTCTAAGGTCCGTTATGTAAGTCTTTTTACATTATTCGGGGTCCTAATTTACAAAACTGCCAATATAGTTAAGAAATGGTACCATTAAAGGCCTCATATTCCTGAAGTATCAACCTTGTTCAACTGCCACTGAATGATTCCAATCGCCAAGCTGAAGCTTGAGAAACGCTGAGTCCCACTCACTAGTCACTAGCTTCAATGAACACAGCACTTCATGTTGAAATTCTCAAACGGTACGACGGTACGAAGTACCTACATGGGCTACTATAAGGTATGCTTTACTAGTTCTTCCAATGTTCTTCCCCTTCAGACCAACATTTTTTTGTGCCTCCAAACCACTGTTTGTCTCGTCCCTTTTCGTGTATTCTTTCCATCGCCCTTCCGACACGCTTCTCGGCCTTCCCCATTCATCAAAATCGCACATTTCGCAATTCGCCTTCGTCCTTAGGAACCGAATATCAATGTTAGCATTTTAAAGGGTGCTGCTTTATGAAGCCCAGAATCGGCACTAGATCCTGCAGCTTCGAACCTTTTAAATGTCATTGATTCCTTCTCACAGCTCTCTTATGAAAGCTCCAGTTGGGGGGGCTTGCAAGTAGTCCTCCCCCCGTCCTCGCTCCTAAGAGCCTTGAGGTACAGAAGAATCATTATACCCAGTCGCACTGCACGCACGCACACAGACAAGTGGTATTGCACATAGGCTGATCCAAGGTAGGCCCAAGTCACACTGCACCCAAGCTCCTTCCAAGTCGTACCAAGTCGCACGCAAGCTATTTCAAGACCGCCGCGATTCGCACTGCACACAAAGCCACTTCAAAGTGCAACTGCGCACACAAAGCTGCTTCAAACCCGCACCAAGTCACACACAAGCTTCAAGATCGCACAAAGTCACAGCGCAGACGACCTGGTTCAAAGTCGCACCGATCCATCTAGTCCGCGCACGTAGCTTGACTGGCCTGGGGGAACAATCAAAATGCACGGAAAGATGCATTCATTCAGGCTTTTTTGATGGCAGCCGATGCTGTCAGAGTCTAGCTTGACTCTTCGTGCCAGGCATCGCCACCATCTGCACACGAATCAGCCACGGCTTGAGACAAGCCTTCCCTTGTCGCAAACCCACTTAACTTGCAGCACATTTCCTGGAGCCCTTGCATGTTTTGAATGGAAGCTTGGTTAAGGTTGTTTCCGCCTCATCTGTCAACTGGTTCTCGCGCCTGTGGCACAGCAGCAACTTCCTTTGCCGAGGAATTTCGGCAGCGGGTTGCGAGAACACTTCACGCTCTTCCATTGCCACATCGTTCCCTTGCTGTGGCTTCAGTGATGTAGATATGTGTCTTTCATATCGGCCAGAGATACGTCCCAATGTGGATAAGAGCTTCAACCAGAAACGTCGTCGAGCTGCAAAGCCAGGGCAGTGGTAAGGGAAGCTCTGAAACTCATCCCAAGCTTTCTCAATGGCCACCTTGTAGTCTTGGACTCAGGTCTCATTCAGAGGACGCCTAACGCATCCCAAGCTTTCTCAATGGCCACCTTGTAGTCTTGGACTGACATCTCCTGCAAAAAGCCCCCTCGCACATAGGGCTTACTCCAGGCCTGAACTCAGGCTGCATACACAAGCACAAGGCTCCATTGCAAAGACCGCTGATTGGACTCGGTCGCTGCTCACGCAAGCCTTGCTCAAGGCCACAACAGCTTGCTCACAACTACATACACTCACTCCGGCTGCACACACACACACACAAGGGACAATCACGTAAGCATGGCCAGTGCACACACACACACACGCACACGCACACGCACGGCTTGCTCGAGGCACTAATCCCTACAGTAGCTACATGCTTTCACCCAGGGTCCTTCATGTCAAAGATACCATGCAGCACTAAAACTGTGAAGACCGTCAACCTTCCCTCACAAAGCCGTGCCAACTGCTCGGGTGCGACCCGGTGACCAAGCTCAGGGGCTTCCACCCTAAGTCCCCGAAGCTGGTCGTCAGGTGTGGAGAGGGTGCATGTAACAATTCTCCCTGCTGCAAACACTTGTTTGTTGATGGTTTGTTGATGGTGGAGTGGCAACTGGGGAGCTGCTGCAATGACACTGGCTCGCCTTTGAACGTCCTGAAAGCTTTGTGCAGGCATTGGTAGGCAATCAAATATTTGCCCACATCATTCCCGCTAAGGGCGGCTTCTGTGCTAGATCTTCGGGCCCTGATCTCCAAGGTACCGTGCCTGCCATTTGGTTCGGTCCAATAAACAGGATATCCCGATATGATGCTTCATATTTATATCAGATGAACTTACTTTGTACTTGAATGTTCCTTCTACAAATCTAAGATACACCACAGGATAACTGCCTTGTTGTATTTCCGGCAGCGGGTGGACCCTTGTATTCAGAGGGCACATGGCTGGGTGGAAGGCAGAGATGCTGGTAACACCACTTGTGTCGCCAATGTTAAAGCCAAGCAGCAAAATCTTAGCTTTGTCATCCAGTCTGCAGGCAAGGTCAACACCAGTGTGCCAAGAGGTTGGGCCATGTCAAACTCCGGCAAGGACACCATGTGACCCGCATACACTGTGAAAATATTGCAGGATTCCAAGGCGGCCAGAAACATTTTGCAAGGAATCTTCGTCATTCCCAGCATCAATGACTCCACGGTCAGGCATGGCACAGCAGTTGCAATCCCTGCTTTACCTGTGCCTCCCAAACTTTCACGTTGCCAGAGAACAAAGACCTGCAGCCAGCGGAAGCAGAACAAAATACGTCAACAGGACGTGCAACCAAATCGATGAAACTTCCTCGCTCAGGTTCGATTTTGGGGGCTTCATTCTCCTTGTTGATGTAAAGCACATCATCAACCCACAGGCAGCTCTCTGGGAAGAGTCTCTTTCAGGACCATGTGCACATCCACAAGGCCAGTGCCAAAACTGCTGAAATCAAGCTGCCAAGCTTGACCATCGAGCTGCTGCCCTTCGGCAGCAAACTCCACGTCAGCATCAATCACCAAAAATGACAATAGTAACAAAAACGGGTTGAATGCATTTGCCAACAAGGAAATGACTAATGCATGCTTATGTTAAGTGAATGATTTGAAGAATACCGTCGGAATCCCACAGCACTGCCCCGAGATGCCTATCTCGTCGTAAAATTCAAGGAAGTACTCGATGGTGACATGGTAAATGTCACCAGACCGGCAGCGAGTGAGAAGACCCCTTGGCCTCAGATTAACTGTGCTTCTCTCCAACGACTCCCTCACGCTACCCGGGCACCCTGCTCCCACGAAAGTGCTGGCGACTCCCACGCGGGGAAATATGACCCAGCTTCTTGCAAGGGAACCTGAAGCGCCACCAAATGGCAACAGCTCAGCATGAAGCTCGCGGTTGCATGTCGCAGCTTAGGTGAACGTGTCCAGCCGACAATTATTCCGGGTCACGCTATACAGGCTTTCGCCAACTTCTGAACACATCTACACGATCCGTTAGGGGTATCATAAGGTTTTAGGGCATAGGGGTCAAAGGGTCCTAAGTATGGTAGAGTAGAAAGGAGGGCTTCTGTATTATGAGCTGCTATCATGATTTGGGGAAGCATCCCCCCGTAACAGTACCTAAGATCCCTTGGGGCTTTTGGGTAGAAAACCAAGCCCGAAATCCCGAAAAAACGAAGCACGAGCCTAGAAACTTCACCGTTGAAGCGATAAAGAGGGGTTTAGGGATTGAAGGGTTTAGAGGTTTAGGGATTCAGGGATAAGGGGTTTAGGGTTTAAGGATTGAAGGGATAGGGGTCTAGCGGTTTAGGGATTTAGGGAAAAGGGGCCTCGGTTTAAAGGTTGAGCATGAAGGAGCTTCGCAGCTTCCGGGGACCATAACCTCCAAACTCTGAACTCCGGATAAGATCGATAAACCCCGAACATGAACTCTGTAAACCTCAAAAAGCCGAGACCCTAGACAGGATAGGGGTCCTGTAATGGGTATATAATAGCTATATTAAGGGTATATACCTAGGGGTCCTTGTTAAGGGTCTCTCCTTTTACCCTTGGAACCTCTAAACCCCTAAACTTACGTTTGGTTAGTAAGGAATGGAGGAATGGGGTATAGTTATAACTACTATTACTACCATTCTTCCATTCCCTACTAACCAACGGCAAGTAAACCCTACACCCTACCCCCCCCCGCCCACACACACACTGAAGGCTGAACCCTGAAGCCTAAAGCAAGAAACCTAAACCCCAATGGCCCATCGGCCTTGAAAGAACTCATAGCTGGCGACACAGTCGCAAAGATATCGTCCAAGAGCACCTTGTCCGAAAAACACAGCAACTGGGATTTAAAAATGCCCAGGGTTTAGCGCTCGCAGAGATTAGGGCTTGGCATCAACTTGGACCTTAAATAACCTGCCTTTTGGGGATTTCGTGCCCTGAATAGCCTACCTGTTTTCTCCCAAACTCTTCCCGCCATCTCGTCTGCTTGGAGGATCATGGGACTTAGTAACTAGGGTTCCTTAAAGGGCTCCCTAAAGGGATCTATAGGGTTCCTTAAAGTGATCTATGGGGTTAGAATTTAGGGGCTACTTGGAGGATCATGGGACTTAGCAAGTAAGGTTATAAGTACCTTATTTGGGGTTATAAGTAGTTATAAGTATAGAAACCTAAGTATAGTTACCCTAATTATAACCCTAGTTACTAAGTCCCATGATCCTTCAAAGTACGTGAGCAGCGCCAAAGCACTCAAAACGTACCTGGAGCCCAATGCACCAACCTTTTTAGGGCTCCTTATTCTGTTTAGGGTTCCTTTAAAGGGATCTATAGGGGGTTCTAATAAGGGTAAAGTTTAGGGTTTTCCTTAACCCTGAATAACCTACCGTTTTAGGGTTCCTTATTCTGATTTCTTTACATAAGCCCTTAAAAAAGGCAGAGTATTTGGGCATAAGGCAGGGTTTACCTTAACCCTGAAGGACCTACCTTTTTAAGGACTTGTATAAAGAGATCATAATAAGGAACCTTAAAAAGGTAGGTTATTCAGGGTTAAGGTAGGGTTCAGATTGTAAGATTTAGGATTGAGGGCCTACTTGAACAATGTCAAGACACTCCAAACCTCAAACCCTGGACCCTCGCTGGGACCCACGGGACGTAGTAAATCCGTGGCCAGTAGGGCTTGAGTTGGGCACCCTCGTTCTACACACATGCTTATTTGCAAACATGTAACTACAAATATGAATGCAAAAACAAACGAACAATACATACAACTTCAATGTGAACATATGATTCTGAATGCGCACTTACCAATCTAGCTTCAGAACCGACACATCCGGCTAAACCCAGGGCCCAAAAACCCCAAAACTCAGAAGCCGGGACTGGAAGCCTGAACCCACAGAGCGCAACGCTCTAGACGGCTGAACCCCGAACCCCAACCCGAAAAGGCAAAACCCAACTCTCCCCTTTTCTTTACCAAAAACGAACTAGAAACCAAACACACCACCTGGGTAGTTGTCAAAATTAGGGTCCCTTTTTGGGTACCCTAAATATTAGGTGCCGTATTACAATACGGACCCAAAAAGGACCCTAATTTTGACAACCACCCACCTCAAAACTTGCCTGCAGACCGTAGAACCCATGCCCCTCCTCCCAGCCGAGACAAAGAAGTGGCTATACCCTAAATCCGAAACCCTCAAGGCCCCAAAGGCCCTCAAAGCCTAAACCCTAAACCCTGAAGGCCCTACAGGCCGCAAAGGCCCCTAAGAGCCCTAAAACCCCTAAACGCCACAAAAAAGCTTTGGTGGCACCAAAAGGCCCTAGAAGCCTTAAAAAGCCAGCCCTAAAAGCCCTGAAAAGCCTCAAAAAGGTACTAAACACCTTAAAACAAAACCAAAGGCCCTGAAAAGCACAAAAAAAAACCCTAGATCCTATATCCTACGCCCTCCACTCTAAACCCTGAAGGCCCTAAAGCCTAAACCCTACCTGGACCCCAAGTAGCCTACCTTTGTGAGGACTCATATAAGGAAATCATATCAAGGAACCCTCAAAAATTTAGGTAAAGGCTCCGAAAAGCACAAAAACCACTTTAAAGGGAATCCTTCGAAAGGAACCCTATTCTAATTATTAAGGCCCCCGTATTATGATTTCCTTGTATAAGTCCTTCAAAAGTATGTTACTTGAATTTAAGGAAAATCCTAAAGGCCCCAAAAAGCCCAGAACCATATTCCGTAACTAGGGGGTATAGTATTCCCTTACAGAACCCTTTTTGATCCCTTTAAAGGAACCCTTGTATAAAGGGATTACGCCCTTGTAGATCCATGGCCTGGGAAGGCGGCGCTGGGACGCGAGGAGAAAAAGAACCGAAGAGCAGCCGCTGGAAGGCGCCGTCAAGCTTGGCGATGTGGGCCTTCTTTTAGGGGGGGTTATGTAGAGGTTTTTGAGGGGTTTTAGGGATTCAGGGTTTAGGGTTTGGGGGGCTTTGGGGGGGTGTTTTGCGGGGGTTTGGGCGGTTTAGGGCTGAGGCTTTTGTGTGTTTAGGGTCTATAAGGTTTAGGGTTGCCGGGGGCGCAGGTCTGGGGTATCGGGGCCAAGGTTGGCGATGTGGGCGTCGTAAGTTTCCGTAGATGTTCAGAGATCAGGGTTTAGGGTCCAAGGTTTAGGGTTCAGGGTTTAGGGGTTTTAGGGGTTTTAGGGGTTTGGGGCTTAGGGTTTAGGGGTTTAGGGTTTAGGGTTCAGGGTTTAGGGGTTTTAGGGGTTTGGGGCTTAGGGTTTAGGGGTTTAGGGGTTTAGGGTTTAGGGTTCAGGGATCAGGGTTTAGGGTCTACGGTTTAGGATTAAGGGCCAAAGGTCTAGAGTCTAGGGTGTAGGTGCTGTGGGGCTTGTTTAGTAATAGTAGAGGGCTCGGGTCTTTGCAGGCTTCAGTTTGTCGTCCTTAAACGGTCAAAATAGGCGCCGTTGTCCTTGAGGTTGTTTGCGAAGCTTCTGTAAGGGATCCATAGGGGGTTTGGAGTCTCTGGGTATTAGGTACTTGGGCTCGTAGGGCTATGTTATGTGACCCCAAGGGTTCAAAGGACCCAAGAATTAGATACTCGGTTTTGGGATAGTAGCTATGTAGGTTAGGATTTCGGAGAGTATATGACTACTGGGTACTTGGACCCTTGGGGCTAGTTTAAGGTACATTCCCTACTTGCCCGGGAGGATCCAAAAAGTAGATCCCTTAATGGGGGTTCCTATAAAGAGTAGTACAGGGCCCCAAATTAGGGGATCTACTTTCTAGATCCTTACCGTAGGGCTATAGTGCGCCTCCAAATTGGCTTCCCCTCGGCCGTGGTCTTGCAGGAGGCTCGTGCCTCGGCTTGGGGCTTAGGGTTTTCAGGCTTTAGGTTTGGGGCTTCAGGGATTGTTGGCTTTTAAGGGCTTCTTACATAAGTTGGTTTTGGGGTTTACAGCGTTTTAGATAAGTTGGTTTTTGGGTTTACAGTTGCAGGTGAAGGATTCAGAATTGACCTGAGGGTTCAGGTGCTGAGTATCCTGGGGTCGCAGGTCTAGGAGGCTCCAGATTTGGGGCTCGAAGCCCTCCGACCTGGAACCCTAAGTCTTGAATCTCAAGAACTGACCCCGAATCCCGAAACCGAAAACCTAAATCTCTATCTCAATCACCCTCAACCACTATCCTAAACCGAAACCCGAAAACTCCCATCTCAATCATCCTCAACCACAACCTCACTTTCGTCTGCCGACTCTTTAACGATGCATCTTCAGCCAAGGCGATGCCCTCAACTTTCTCAGCGACGTTGTCCACCGGCTTGCGCTGCAACACTAACTTCATACCGAGCGGCTTCACACCTGCAGGGACCTTGCTCGTCTCAGCTCTGTGCCCACGCCCTCGATGAGCCCCCTTCTGAAATGGTGCTTCCGGTTAGGATGCTCTGCGAAACAGCTTCGCCCACCGTTTACCTTGGGTTATAGGCCCTACAAGCTCGGCGAGTAGGGGTTGGGGGGTTGCAGGTGTCGGTTTTGGAGCAGTTTGGGGTCTAGGGCGAAGTATCCCTAGACCCCTAAACCCCAAGGCCAAACACCCTTAACCCTTACCCTTACCCTTGCCAGCGCCTAGGGCGAAAAGAGCTCCCTTTAAAGGAACCTTTAAAAAGCCCTGACAGGGACCCGGAAAAGAACCCTTCCAGGCAGATTCGGCGACTAACTAGGGATCGGTCGCACCTAAATTAAATCCCAAACCCCGTATTCAAAACCCTAAACCCTGAAACCCCTAAACCCCAACTCAAAGGCCCCAAAGTAGTTCTTTTTTGGGGTTCGTCTATAGAATCCTATAAGGTAATCCCAAAAAAGAACTACTTTGGGGCCTATGGGAAAACCCTAAACCCCTAAACCCTAAACGCCTAATACTCTTGACCCTGTAAAATCCATAAAAACCCTAGAATCCCTCGAGCCGGCCAGGTCGCATGTCGCCCGCAAAGTCCATTGTGCCACGGCAGCGGCCGATTGGTGAAGGGCCAGCCACTGGTCCTTGGTATATCGACTGTCGGTTTAGGATTTAAGGTTTTGCTTTGAAGTTTAGGGTTTAGGGTTTATAGGGGCTTGGGGTTGCCAAGGCGTTGATAGTACTGTAATTAGTATACTTTAGCAATCTGGAGGAAACCTAAAAATTTGTCTTACGAATCACCCACTCTACTGACTGTCTATTGTGCTACCCCCCAAAACCAGCAAGCCTCAAACACTGAACCCCAAACCCTGACCCACAAACACAATAAACCCTCACCCCTACACTCGAGAACCCTAAACCTCCCAAATCTACCGCCAAGAGTCGACTGGAAGCAGCTGCGTGCTGTTGTCGCATGAGCTGAAGCCATGCAGAAGTGCATCCGCCATAGACCTCAGCATGTGTGGTTTTGGGGGTTGCTGGTTTAGGGAGTAGGGTGAGGGCAGAGGATTTAGGATTTAGGGAAACTCTGCCTGTGATAGAGACTCTGGTATAAATCTGTCATATCCGCCATAGACATGACCAAGGAAGCCCATTTACCCAGGTAGTGGGTTGCTCTGACTCAATCCTGACTAAGCCCTGATGGTAATGATAATCCAAACTTTAGGGTTTAGGGTTTAGGGTTTTGTGTAGCTGGTCCTGCGGCGTGTGTCTAGGCTTATCTAACAAAACAGTATAGCCACCTGGTAATTGTATATATTCATGCTCTGATAACATGCCCCATAACCCCTCGACCAAAAGAACTCCTACATTGACCCAAGGCAATGTGTGATGAGGGATACTTCCCCGAATCATAAACCTAAGGTTCCAAGTAGTCCCTATTTATGGTTTTCGATACCTAAACAGGCCCTAACGTCCTATCTTGAGGAGTACTTGGACCCTCTCAGAAATGGTAATTCCTTATAACAGTCTACCGTATAGGCACTTAGGATACTTTGGGTACTAGATTCACTAGATCAAAAGGACCCACGGCCGATCCCTACGCTTTACGTCTAAATCAACAAACTCAAAACCGCGAATGTATGCAAACCCTTGTCGTCTTTGGGAGCCGAAAAAGCAAAGTGCACTCTAAAAGTCACAAAAACCCGAGTAGTGCGATCCTTAAGTCAAGACCCCCCAAAATTCAAGGAGCTGAATCAACCCCAAATTCTAGACCTTAAGCCCGAGAAACCTCTGCACAACCCGGCAAACCAGTACATAAAACCGTAACGTCCCTGGCCCGAAACCTTAAAGCCCAAACCCTGAACCTGCACCCTAGGCCCTAGGCCCTAAATCACGTAAGCCAAGACCCTCAAGCCTGTAAAGCCCTAATTTAGGGGCCTTCATAATTAGAATAAGGTCTTGGGGCCCATGATATGATAGTTAACAGTAAGGACACCCCTAAAATGGCATTGGTACTGTAATTATTTGATGGGCCCCTACTCTAAACCCCTAAATTATCTACGCCCCTACTGTACATCCCAGAGACTCCAATATCCCTTAATTAAGGAATATTCCTTAAATCATAATAAGGATCCTACTATAATTTATGGTATTTTCCTTAATTCAGGGTGTTGGAGTCTCTAAGATCGTAAGATCCAGGCTCGGTCTTGACCAGCGCCCCAGAGCTCAGTGCTGCGAGCCTCAAGAGTGCGGAGGCTCACTCGCGAGGGTGCCAAGGTTTAGGGTGTAGGGGTTCAGGGGTTTAGGGTTGAGTGTTTAGGGGTTTAGGGGTTTAGGGGTTTAGGGGTTTAGGGTTTAGCGTTTTCGGGTTTAGGGTTTAGGGGTTTAGGGGTTTAGGGTGTTTGCATAAGGGCTTAGTTTTTAGGGCTTAGGGTTCAGGGGTTTAGGGTTTAGGATGCTTGCCAGGATTCTACCGGGCTGCGAAAAGGAGCAAAGGACTCGCATAGCAGACATCACTCATTCGTAAAGCGAATACCATAGCATCCCCAAGCCGTAAAGCCTGAACCCTAAGCCCTAAACCCTAAACCTCCCGGAACCCTAAACTCTGAAGCCTTTTACCTAAACACAAAATCCCAAACCCCAAAGCTTGCACTTTGTCTCTGCCGTGCAGCTCCTCCACTTAGAGGCCCGGGGGACTTAGTAAGTAGGTTATAAGTAGAGCTATAAGTCCCCTAAGTGGGGTTACCCAAAGTATAACCCTACTTCTGACTGACTCACTAAGTCCCCTGGGCCTCCAAGTAGAAAATCCCATAGATCCCTTTAAGGAACCCTATAGATCCCTTTAAGGAACCCTAAGTCCCCTGGGCCTACTGAGTCCCCAGCTCCTCCAACTCCGATCGGTTTCCGAAGGCGACGTTGAGAGCGGATTGCTCCAGTTGGGCGAAGGCGTCTCCGACCTCTCAGAAAAGTGTACTTAGAGGCGCAGGGGACTTAGTAAGTAGGTTGTAATTATGAGTAGAGTTATAAGTACCCTGAATGGAGTTACCCAAATTGTAACCCTACTTATAACCGACTTACTAAGTCCCCTGGGCCTCTAAGTAACCCTAAACCCGAAGCCCTAAACCCTTTCAGGGTTTAGGGTTTCAGGGTTTAGGGCGGTTAGGGTTTGCAGGGTTTAGATTGCTTAGCTTCTCACCGGTTCAAGGTTTCGGGGCTCCTTTCCCTAAGACTCCATGTGCCTATATAGTAGGTTCCGCAGCCCTCAAGGGGTCCTTTGTTAGGTACTTTAAGGACTAAGTACCTACTATATGGGTACATGGAGCCTTTGGGTTTGAAATGGGGTTTACGGTGTTGGCCCCCTCCCGATCTATTCCTTGCTTCTTGGTGCGACATTTCGGGAACCTTTCCACCCTACACCCCTAGTAAATCCTAGGGTTCCCTTGAAATGGATCCTGTTAAAGGGATCTTTAGGGGTTCTATAAGGGGGGCTTTAGAATCTACTTAAAGCATCGTGGGACTTAGTAACTGGGGCTATAATGAGGGTGACTATACTTTTAACTACTTATGACCCCCATTAAGGTACTCATAACCTGACTTACGAAGTCCCATGATCCTCCAAGTATACCCCCACCTCAAGGATTAAATGGCCCTTAACATGCAGGGACCTCTATATCATTTTTACCATGAGGCCCTACATTATATGGTGTCTGAACCTCAAACTCTTTTGAAGGGCCTTTCGACTTTAACGCCCGCTGACGAGTCGGAGGACTTTTTGCCCAGGAATCACCCTTTTGAGGGTCTCAGACTGACTTGGGAGTTTCCCCCCCAAAAAAGGGGAATCCTAATATGACACCCTGAATAATTAGCTAGAGACTTGTCAGAAAAGTCTCAAGGACAATGGAAATTGATGCTCTCGAGGCTGGTTGCTCGGGCTGAGGGTTCGGGATTGATGGCTCAGGGTCCAGATAAAGGAATCCAGGGATACACCCTGGGACTTAAGGTTTTGGCCTCAGGTTAAAGCTCAAAAACATCCTCAGCCCTATACTTAACTGGGTTGGCCTTTAAACACCCTGAAAAATATTTATATATGGGGTCCCTTATAAACCCAAATAAGGCAAATTAAAAATGTCCCAAAATCTACCCTACTTCAACCCCCCTCTCTGGAGCCTCGCGCATGCGCGAGAGCATGCAAACGTCCCTCTGCTTTGGGAGCTGCGGCGTGGAGTTCGTGGCCTCGGTGCCGTGGAGAAGCCTGGAGAACAGGGAGATTTGGGCCTTCCTCGTATCACTATCGCTGTGGCTAAGGGATGAGGGTTTAGGGTTTGTTATGGTGGATCATGATTAGTATCGCTATTTCTTATAATGATGACGGCTGTTGCTAGCATCCTTAATGCTGTGGTGACGGCTTTAGGGGTTTAGGGTCGCTGTGGTGACGGCTTTAGGGGTTTAGGGTTTAGGCCTCAGGGGTTTAGGGCCTGGCTCTTGGAACTACATCAAGGGACCTCAAAGGACTGCCATAGGCATCCAGTCCCGTTCCTACTGAGGACCAGTGAGATCAGTATTGCTGCGGTTAAGGGTTTAGGGATCTGGAAGACCAAGTTCTTCAGCATCATCATAATGAGTGTCAGCCTGAGCCATGATCCAACAGTAGACAATCCGTCAACGACTTGCAGACTTGTCACCCAGAGAACAGATGGCTGAGGATCTGATCCACCGACAGACTCTTTAGAGGCTTGTTCTCAGCCTTGTCAACAGCTCTGTTCAAGGCAAGATGACCTTGTCTTGCACTTCTTCAAGGGACCTTCTTCAACCACTCTGGGACGATCTCGTCATCGACCATCCGTCTGGCAGCCGCGCGATCTGCCTTGCCGTACCTCCTGAGGTACCAGACTTCCTTGCCTTCTCGTGTAGAAGTGAAGCACGCGATCCTGGCTTGAACCCCTACGCACGGGCTGAGGAAGACTACCTCTTCTAGGTGGTGAAGCTTCATCCTTCCAACATCGGTGCCAGTACGACGTCCTTGCATCTGATGACCATGCAGCAGAACTGCTTGGCCAGTCGACTTATTATGATGATCACGATAATTATCATCAGTTTTCTGATGACGACCATGGCTGTGGCTATTATCACGATTATGGCTATTGCTATGATTGGTATTACGGGTGTTATTAAATTACCAATCGGATTTTGCTACTGAAGTTATTGATGCTATAGCTATTCTCGCCATTGTGGTCGTGGTACTGGTGGGTGGTGGCGGCTGCGGCGGCGGCGGCGGCGGTGGTGGTGGTGGTGGTGGGAGTAGGAGCAAGAGTAAGCGCAGGAGCAGGAGGAGGAGGAGCAGGTGGAGGAGGAGTAGGAGCCGGAGTAGGGGTTGGAGTAGGAGTAGCAGTAGGACTAGCAGTAGGAATAGCAGTAGGAATAGGAGTAGGAGTACAAGAAGTAGTAGTGGTAGCATGAATTCCTTTAAGAGGTTTCGATCTGGTCTCTTGTTACTAAACCAGGTTAGGGGCTCAGAAGGTTTAGGATGTATGGTGCCCTGTCGGGGGGGGGGGGGGGGGGGGGTACAGCATGTATATCGTTAGGTAGCCCTGAAAAAAGAAGGGATACCTAGCGGTTTACAAGGTCTTATATAATTCCAAAATCTCTGTGAAATGTCCTAAAAGGTGGTGCAAGGCTTCGAAGGTTTTGGGTCGCTATTTAGAGACCGTTGTCAGGATCCTACCTGCTTAGGGCTTTTATGAGGTTGCCTCCGGTTGTTTTGAAGCTCCGGATGTTACACTCCCGAGTAATAGACCGAGTAATTAGTTGTAAACCCTAAACCTTGAACTTTTGGGATTAGGGTTCCGCACTCTCACCGCAAATCCTGGAGTCCCTAAAGCCCTATAAGGCCATGAAGCATCGTGTGCGTGGCAGCGAAAGTGGCTCGGGAAGCGTTCAGCTCAAGCCAGTTTTCATGAACCTGCTGAGCTGGCGAAGGAGTGTTCCTCCACTTCGGGGCTCAGGGTTCCGGGGTGGTTTAGGGTTTCGGTTTAGGTTCGGAAACTAAGCTTTAGAGTGGAATGCTTGGTTCCTTTAAGATGGGATGAGATTTAGGGCTTCGGGGCTACTCACAGTGAGACCGCATGACTTTCCCAAAACCAGATGATTTGTATGTGTTGTTTTGACCTCGTGCCGCAGAGGAAATAGTAGGAGTAGTCGTAGTAGTAGTCGTCGTAGTAGTAGAAGTAGTAGCGTGGTGGTAGTAGCAATAGTAAGCTCCGAAACATAACCAAGTTGCTGATGAAGGAGTCTAGAGGTAAGGCCCTCCAGCAAAAGTATAACTTGCCTGGATGCCATAGAGAACCAAAGATGCTTCGACGGACATCTTGAACAGGAGCATCTCCTCTGCATTGCATGCTATCAATGTACCCTACATTCCGAAATCCTAAGCCTAAGCCAAATTTTAGAGGCCTAAATCAGTAGCCTTTCTAGACCTAAGATGAGGAGTCACCACCATGATTCGAATGATGTATTGACTGAAAATGGGTATGACACGGTATGGACTGCTTGCCGAGCACCCTCACTGAGCACCTGACAAGCACTGATCGTAGGTGCTAAATCTTGCAAGCACAAGATAAGCCCAACTTCACAAATCTTAGTGCATACACGTGTATATACATATACATGTATATACATATACAAACATAGATATGTGAGGACCCGATGTGTTGTAAATTAAGCTTTGCTCCTTACCAAGACAAGGTGCGGGCTTGTCCGTTAAATTTCTACACCGAAAACTCTAGACCTTCCAGTCTGCCTTTGCAAACAAGCTTTCATTAAGACGACCACACGGAGAACCCCAAATGAGAGTGCACGAAGCAATGATATAACCACGGAACTACAGGCTGTAAAAAAGGGCACCTTTACCGTCAACCCAGAACCGGAAAACTGTAAACCCTGACCAAGTCCAATACCCTGAAATCCAGCCCTAAGCTTTAAAGCCAAACCCTTAACCTCAAACGCCCTGGTCCATCACCCCGATACCCAGAGGCCCCATAGTAGTTCCTTCTTTGGGGTTCATCTATAGAATCCCATAAGGTAATCCCAAAAAGAAACTACTAGGGGGCCTTTGGGTAAAGCCGTGCCCAGAACTATACTGAACTTAGAACCCTAGCAAAATCTTAATTTTAGCTGTTTCTTAGGGATTATAATAACCAAAAATTAAAAAGGATTTCTAAGTACCCCTAGAATACCCAGAACCCTAACCACCCCCACCGCCTGAGGCCTTCCCTCCCCTCAACAAAAAACCTCTGAACCGATGCACTCCGCAGGGTCCTGCTGGCTTGCCAACTCCACAAGATAGGCATCAGAGGAGTGGCTCGAGGAATAAGCAGCCTGCCTTTGAATTCAGGTTTCAGGATGTGGGATTTAGGTTTGAGTTTCGTTTGTTGGAGGGCTCTTTTCCGTCTGCACGCGGGTACGGCCTGCCAAAGGCTTCGGGCTTGGGTTTCCTTTTTTTGAGCTCCTTTTCTGCCGACGCCCGAAGGTTGGGGTTCGGGTTTGGGGTGCAGGGTTCAGGATTCACTTTAAGGTTCTCCTGCGGGTTTCTGCAAGGCTTTGGGGGTGCCGGGTCTGGGCCACGGCCACGGATCAAGGTCTCAGGTTTTGGGGCTTACCTTAACCCTGAACAACCTACCTTTTCGGGCTCCTTGTTATGATCTCCTTATATAAGTCCAGGTAGGGTTGAGGGTCTGCCGTTTCAGGGTTGTCGATGCTTGGGGATTGGGGTTTAAGGCTTTGGGACGCCAGGGATTCAAGGTTTCAAGCTCAGGATTTAGAAGCTGGCGTTTCGGGTATAGGCTGAGGGATCTTGGATTTGCGTAGCATGTTTCTTAGCTCGTGACTCTACACTTGCATGATTCTTACAGAGGCTTTACAGTGGCGTGGATGATGGTCTGTAGAGACTTGCCAAATATAGGGGTAAAGCAACGTGATCCAAAACACTGCTTTTCACAAGAACGGTATACAGCTTCTTGTGACGGACTAGTGAACACAGAAATTTTCTGTGACGGCATAGTCGGGCAATATGCATCAAGTAGCTCCGTCTGATGCACAACGATGTCCAAGTCCATCAACACTTTGTGACCTCTGCGAGGTGCAAGGTAAAGGCGTTTTGAGCTTGACGGCTTTAGTGGACAGGCTCTGGGGAGTTGAGAAACAGGGTTATTTACCGTCAAGGATCCAAGTTCGCACAAACTTACTTGTCGGGCATCACGGGGAACTGAAGGTTAACCTCTTTGGTTACATAGTTACATAGGGATTATATATGGACTATACCACCGAAAAAAGGTTAAAGGTTATCTGCTCTACTACTACTTGGAGGCCCAGGGGACTTAGTAAGCCGGTTACAAGCAGGGTTAGTTGGGACATATAACCCTACTTACAACCGACCCTCAACCCTTCTAGGCTATTAGGTAAATTATCTGCTGAAAGACTCGAACTGGGAGGTATTTTGGGCTGAGAGTCTGGTACTTAGGGCCAGGATCTCTGGGTTTCTTGCGGTTGAGCAAATCTACTTGGAGGCCCAGGGCACTTAGTAAGTAGGTCAAAAATAGAGTTATAAGAGCCCTACAATAAACGGAGTTTCTCCGATTATAACCCTACTTATAACCGACTTACTCAGTTCCCTGGGCCTCCAAGTAGGACAGTGACCAACAACCCCATGTGGTCTTCAAGCACAGGAGACGAGAGGCGGCCAAAGATTTTGCTAAACTCATCCGCACCTTAAGCCCTAAACCTTAAACCTTTTGGGATTGGAACCCTAAACCCTAAACCCTAAACCCTTGCTTCAGGGTTGTCCCTGGTTCTTGGAAGGGAATGGTGGAATGGGTTAAAGGGGACCTTAAGGGACTGTCACAGGGATCCATTCCCCTACTTAAAGGATCATTGGACTTAGTAACTAAGGTCCCTTTAAAGGGGGCTATAGGGGTTCCTTAAAGGGATCTATAGGGTTTAGGGTTTAGGGTCTACTTAAAGGATCATGGGACTTAGTAACTAGGGTTATAATTAGGATAACAAAACTTATAACCCCAATTAAGGTACTTATAACCATACTTGCTAAGTCCCATGACCCTCCAAGTATTCCCGACTAAGAACCAACGATTTTTCTCTGAATCCTAAACCTCCCCAAATTCCTGCGTCGCTAATCCTTGCCTCCACGGCCAAACCTGCTAAGAACCATCAACTTCCAGGATCAAAAGTAAATACGGTTGATATGAGCACATATAATATAGTAGAATACACTATGACATGACATGGTATAGCAATATCTATACTATACTATTCAAAGAGGTTGCTTTGCCCTGGGTTACCAATACATAGGCCCCGCACCTGCGACCCTGTCTATAAATCTGCTTGCCTGTCTGCTGATTACCTACTCTGTCGACTGTGCGGCAGAAAGAGAGAACAACAAGTACCCAAGATCCTTCACAACAAGGCCTAATCTACCTAGTAAGGCCCCTCCCTAAACCCACCCACTACAGTAAACCCCATAAAGTTGGAAACCGGACTAGGGCCAAATAGTGTTGGGATTCCTTATACATTACTCTTCAAGATTGAGGCTGTGGGGTTTCCAACTTTTGGGCTTCTGCTGTAAACGACCCGGAGCTCGGGATACCTGGCAGCGGCGCTGAGGCCAGTGCTGAGCTGCGCCACGCGATCCACCATGACACCTGGCCCAATCTGAGAGCTGGGATTTGATTTAGGGTTTAGGGTTTAGGATTTAAAGGAGTTCAAGGGTGTAAGTCCTTTTGTGCTGAGTATCTGTAACAATCTTTATTTCAGATTTGGGGGGTCCTGACAAACCCTTCAAAATAAACCGTATAGCAAGGGAACCCCATGAGACCCTGTTCTAACTATAGACGCCTCTATTTGTGGCTTCAGGGTGCTGGGTTTGCTTTGTTTGGGCTTCGGGTTTACAGAGCGTCTGGCTTTGCCTCTCTGTCTGGAATCACTCTAAAAGCCCGAGACCCTGAAAACGAAGTCAGGCAAGATCCACGTCTCAAAAGCAGGGGATTCGACTAGGACCTGGCAGGGTCGGGGACTTAAAACTCTGTAATGTTTCTACTTACTAGGTCCCCCGACCCTCCAAGTAGGACATATCTTGAACATAAAGGAGCACCCTTTTACAACAAGCCCTAAAAAGGCGGCCAAACCCGCTGGTCCAAAAAACTGGCCTGTGATGGTCTCTGCGTGAACTGCCTCTTGGAGAATGCTGCTCATGATTTTCCATGTGTCCTTGGAACTGGTTACCAGGTCTTCCAATATCGTTTAACTAAAGAACACATCACAAGTTGTAGTATAGGAAGCATATTCTTTGAGGAGCATACCTTAAATCATGGTAATTATAGGTAAAACTAGCTAATTCATGGATTTTGGAAGATATCGGTTCTTTGCTTGGGTTTCTTGCTGCACGGATTCGCGCTTAGGGCCTTTAGCACCTTGGGCGTTCAAAGGGGTCCAGGGTCTTAAACCCTAAACCCTAAACCCTAAACCCTAAACCCTAAACCCTAAACCCTAAACCCTAAACCCTAAGAAGCCACGGCCCGGTTTAGGATTGGAAGTTCAGGGTTGGAATAGACAGAGGTCTGAATGATTCGTTTGTTTTACGCCTTGCAAGTCTTAGAACTACATATATTCATACATATGCATGTATATACATATATACATATAAGTGTGTGTGTGTATATATATACATGTATATGTAAGTAACTAACTGTCTACCTGCCTGTCTGTCTATCTGTCTATCTATCCGAACCTTGTTCGACATCTCGAGGCCTAATATTTTGAGCTTTTAGAACGAAATGCTAAGGTTTACGGTTGCAGGGTCATTGCAGCTTCGGATGGTATGCATCGCTGCGCTAGTTGCCTTTGCTATCGCTCCACCTCACAATTACCAGGTAACTGCGAGCGTACAACTGCACAATACAAATAGTTGAACAGCTACTTCCTCTTATAGTCGCTCAGCGGATTCCGTCATGTTTATGGTATATATGCTTAATCAATCTACCCAGCAAACCCCATTACCATTGCAATTATCAACGGCCCTATGCTAATTCCAAACGTAGCCTATGTAGAAAACCTTACAGTGAACCCCAGAAAGTTGGAACATGGATTTAGGACGATTAGTGCGGGGATTCCCTATACTTTACTTTCGGGGTATGAGGATAATGATGTTCCAACTTTCTGGCTTCTCCTGTATAGCCTTCTGCAAGCCCTGGAGGAACCTGTTCGATGTATCAAGTGATGTAGATCGCTGATGAAGCGCTGATATTTATGGTACCTAGCATAAGAATTATAAGAGGATCCTCGACACTAGGGCCTGGAGAGAAAAGGGCTGTTTTTTTTATCAGGATTCTGCAGTTTACAACTGCATAATCATCTTCCCAGCGTCCCAAGCATGCTCCAGGAGGTCGACAACCTTAGTCCCGCACTGTTCTGGGAGTCTCAGAATTTCAGGGGGCCTTGGGGTTCAGGACGGGTCACCGGAGACAAAGTAGTTGTGCTGTTTGCCCAACAAATGAGAAGGGGCTACGGGTTTATGGTTCAGGTATCGAAGGTTTAGGGCTCAAGGCTTTGAGGGTTTAAGGTTTGAAGGTACCGAGGGTTTAGGTAGGGCTCAAAGCGTCGAGGGTTTCAGGAGTGAGTGTTGAGGGCTTAGGGCTTCAGGTTTTGGGTGTAGGGTTTAGGGTTTACGGTCAAATTGCTACTGAGACCCCACAGTCAGATCTTGATCCTCACAGCCTTGGATGATACTGCTGATGGACAAGATCCTGCATGATCCATAATAAGGAATATACCATAATTCCCATAGTTTAGGGTCCTTAGGGTCATGCAGGATTTCGTCCATCAACAGTATCGACCTATAGGCTGGCATACCCGACCCATCTCCTTGAAGGGCTAGCTACTTTCTATAGAGATGTTAACCAGTAAAATCCAAGGGTAAAAGGAGGGACCCTTAATAAGGACCCCTAGGTATATACCCTTAAAAAAAGCTATTATGGACCTATTATATAGCCCATTATAGGGTAAAACTAGGCACCCTAACAAAAGGGGTAGGGTTACTGCTGATAGACACAAAATCCTGCATTACCCATTATAAGGAAGATACCATAATTCCCATAGTTTAGAGTCCTTAGGGTCATGCAGGATTTTGTCTATCAGCAGTATGACCCTCTAGGAACTGCAGACATCCTTCCGCGTATTTGGGGCCTGAGTCCCAGTCAGCGGCCCATAGTGGTAAATGGGCCTTGATACTCAGAATCGGATCCTTTCCATGGATTCCCTTATGCTAGAAGCCAGAAAGTTGGAACATTAGTATCCTCATGCCCTTAAGGTAAAGGATAAAGGATCCTAGCACTAATCCTCCTGAACTCATGTTCCAACTTTCTGGCTTCTACTGTAAACACCTCAACAGGTGAACCGGGTGAACTGTAAGGGCTTACACGGGGCCTTGACAATTAGAAGAGCTTTCGGGTGTATTAGGCTATTAAGGCTATTCATTGCGATCATTAAACAAGATGAGGAAGCGTGGGTAATACTATTGGCAGATTATACAAGAGCCACATTGATGGCCTTCGCCTCACCCCTGGCTAGACACAAGTCGCACCGTGGAACGCTGATTAAGCTCCGTTCTGTAAGAGCCACGCACTTACGTATGTTATATTTGTTCAGATATTCATGTAATATATCTATATATATATATATGTGTATGTAGATGAAATCCGACAGGTAGACAGTGTATTACCCGAAGGGTCCAAGTACTCCCTGTTATGGGAATTTAGGCTCGATTCAGGTCTCAAAAGCCATAAATAAGGACTACTTGGACCCTTAGGGTTATAGAAGGGCCGTGAATGGATTTCTGTATGCTGAGATCCCAGCTTTCTGAGCCGGTGGAGCCAAAATGCCAACCGCCTGTTTCCCTTCGATGAGACCTTGGATAAACAAATTGTGTTTAAGACGGGATTTGGGGTTTAGGGTATAGGGTTTAGGGGTTAAGGGTATAGGTTTGAGAGTTCACTAAGTGTCCGAACATGCAAACTGTGTGTTCTTGATACTAACTTCCAGTCAGAGTATCACATTGGTGACGTGAAACCCTACCAATTGGGTGCTTGGCTTGGGCAATCCTACATATATGTCTTGTCTGAGGTCAGAAGTACGCGCCCCTAATATGGACCCCTGGGCCTTTTCATCTTAGCGGGAGGGGCCTTTAAGGTTACATACAGGGTTTATGGGAGTTTCCGAAAATAGGGGACCCTAATATGATACCCCAAAGAGTAGGATCGTTATTGTAAGGACCCCAAGATGCGGTTCCCCCCTATTTTTCGGAAACTCCCATATCAGGATCCCGGAGTTAAGGGCCCATGCTATTACTAGGGGCCCATGGTTTCAACCTAAGATCTTGAGGCCTGGGCACTGGTTTAGGCTTACGTGCTTAGCATTAAGACTTAGGATGTGAGGCCTGGAGTTTAGGGACTGTGGTTAAGGCCGTAAGTTGTAAGGGCTAAAGATTGAGGATTTGGGGATTTGGGACTTTGGTTTGGGCTGTACGTGTTTGGGATGGTCGGGGAAAGGGCTTGGAAGGCTTCACAGGCGTAGGATTGTGGGCACCCTGCCCTAAATCTCAAACCCCACACTCTCAACCCCATATCATCCGTACTCCAAACGTGAACTTGCTACCGGCAAGGCACTGCGCAGCAGTTGGGCTGTTTCGGACATCAGTACCTGGCTGCTTGCCGAGCCATGCTGCAGGAAATCTGAAGCCCGTCTCCATTGTAGTTCGTGTTTTGTTAGCCAACTTTACGGTTAGGATCCGAAAACATGTGTTATTTAGTCGGTAAGCAAAACAGGAACTACAAAGGATGCGATTCGGGGTACAACCCCAACTCTACACCGCAAGCACTAAGCCAAGCCCCAAGCACTTAACCCAGACCCAACTCTTAATCCGCCCCAGAACCATCACAAAACAAATCATAGATTTTAACGAGCCCTGGGAACTCCAGTATATGAAACTAAACATTTCCAGAACACTGAAGAACTGCCCATGGGGAAAGCGTCTCTCCAATAATGATGCCGGTGTGCTCAATCTGTCTAACTGTTTCTGCTAGCCTCCCTTTGAGGGTTTAGGGATTACCTAAACCCCCCAAAAGTAGGTAAAATAATCCTCAAACCCTATACAAAGCTATTATTCTACAGACTCTTGGGGTGCAGGTGAGGGTTTGGGGGTTTAGAAACAAGGAATGCGGGGTCAAGAGTTTGGGACTCGGTGAGGTGGGAGAGAATCGGTGAACAGCTGTGCACCAAGTCGTGGTGATCTTCGTTGTGGCTCTTGTTCCCTACACCAACACAGGTGGTCCAAGTACCCAAACAGTAGGGCTTTAGGTGCCCAAAACCATTCAGACTATGGATTTTCAGACCTAACCCTACTATTTGGGTACTTGAACCCTCTGGGCAACACAAGGCAGGCACCTCGAACCCATGGACTACAAAACCTCTGCCCGTCCTGCAGTGACAGCCCCCTATGTGCAGTCCCCTGATTCCCTGTGTTGAAAAGGCAAGGACCCCTGCAGTCTTGTGGTTGCTCTTATGGTACGGGAGATGTAGCAAACCTTGAAACCCTGAACCTCTAGCCATAAATCCAAAACCCCAAAAATCCTGAGACGAGACCCAGACCACTATACAAGCCGTTAGAATTCAAGGCTTCTGTTTAGGCTTTAGGGCTGCATACTTGACAAGGCATATACCAACTGCCGAAATGAGCCGCAAAAAAATAAAAACATACATTGCTGCCGGTGGTGCTGTGACCTCCACCTTACCTGGGTTTCGCAGCTGCCAAGGGCAAAACCGTCTAAGCCTTTCTTGATCTTGCAACGGCAACTGCAAGGCAACGTGCTTTCTGAAATGTTTAAACCGCGGAAAGAACTGAAAGAACAAGCAACATAACGAAACACACGCAAGTAGCAAGGTAGTATACAGCAATGCTGCAGCTCTTGCTTGAAGTGATGTTGGCTGCAATTGGAGGGGTTTGGCTCGTTGTGGCAGGGTGGTTTCGGATTTCGGGCTTGGTGGCAAAGGTCGAACACATTGTGAAATCTAATGCTTTCATGCTCCCAACCCAGACCCCCGGGAGGATCTAGAAAGTAGATCCCCTAATTTGGGGCCTATACTACTAAGGAGACTTTATAGGAACTCCCATTAAGGGATCTACTTTTTGGATCCTCCCCCGGGGGTCTGGGAAGCTTTGGTGAATCGAGCTGGCGTCCTGCCACAGCCCTGAGCATATTTCCCAGATGTCAAAGCACAGGATTCGCTGCGAGTCTTAAAAATGCTGCTCTCACAAGGATGGTGCTACCCACAGCGCCGTGACTAGTTTGAGCGTCCGGCCCTCCCGACTCCCGAGATTTGTGCTCCGCCACAGTGCCATACGTGCTTGGGCTGCAGCTAGTTTTGCCGCTTTCAACATGCTGTTCCCACCAAACCCTAAACCCTAAACCCTAAACCCCTAACCCTAAACCCCTAAACCCTAAAACCCTAAACCCTAAACCCTAAACCGGCACATTTCCGCAGCCCGAAGCCCGGGTCCCACCAGTGCCGTGAGAGTTTTGGCTGCCAATTGTGCCACCCTCCAATGGGTGGAGAGCATTTTGAACTCATGGGGTCCTCACCAAAGCCTAAATCCTGAACTCTAAACCCTAAACTCTGAACTTCTACACTTCTAACACCGATCTTGGGAATCTGCAGGACGCTCTTGGAATGGCTCCTTGGTCTTTCACCGTTTGGGGCCTAGGCTGGCGGTAGAAAAGTGAGAAGGAAGAGGCCTAAAACTTCAAAAGTTTGTACGACTCACAAAGAGCTGAATCTTCCAAATGCGGGAGGACCTGATGCCCTAAACCCTAAACCCCAAATTCTAAACCCTAAACGCTATACCCTAAACTCTAAACCCTAGGCCCCAAACCCTAAACCCAAAACCCCACACTTTCCTCCGAACCCAAAGAGCCGAATAGTGCTGCTACTCCAGACCCAAGTTGCTAGTGTGCACATTGCTCTCCAGGGCCACCTGCTTGGGCTTAGGATTTAGCTTTTATGTGTTTTTTGTTTTTTTGTGCAGGCCCTTTTCCTCCCTTCTACAGTCAGAATACCTTGCAGGCAGAGCCTGGTTCAGGGTTTAGGGTTTATCTTAAAGCTGAAGAACCTACCTTTTGAAGGACTTATACAAGGAAATCATAATAGGGAACCCAAAAGAGGTAGGTTATTCAGGGTTAAGATAGAGTTTCGGGGTTTTTGATGTTTCCAGCCCCAAATCGACAGATCGGCTTTCTTCAAGACCTTAACCTAAGGGTCCAAGTACCTAATAGTCATATACTCTCCTAAATATTGGGCCACGTAGCTACTATCCTCAACCCAAGTACCTAATTATTGGGTCCTTTGGACCCTTAGTGTTAACCCCTTGCTGATGAGGATCTATGCCAGGGTCCCTGTTCTGAAACTCCCAAACGGCAAGCCCAAAACCTGAGCACTACGGCCATCAACCCTTTGCATAGGAATAATACTGATGCCGGTGCACCTCCCTGTTTTGGAACTAGATTTTCGATGTTGTTAAAGTATGTCCGGCATACCCTAGCACATTCTGAGTACCGAATCCGAATCCGAGTTTAGGTTTGGGTTTAGTTCCTGAACCCTGTACTTTCCCTTAAACCCCAAACCCTGAAGAAACCCTAAACCCTAAACGGCCCTAGACCCCGCTGCAGAATACAGAAACTCTAAAACCCAAGAAACCCTAAACAGGCCCTAAACCCCCAGAGAAACCCTACACCCGAAACCCCTAAAGAAACCCTATACTACCTATAGTCT